TAGAGAACGTAATACAGTTTGCACAACCAATGTTTGGTCTTAAAAACCTGCCCATAATTAAACGTCATGTAGCCTACTTTTTGATTACTTGACCAGCGGATTAATGGCAGCACCAGCGGATAAACGAGATCTGAGCATAATAGGTATGACCAATATGTGCATAACCAATATGCAAAGTCAAGAGAGTGCACGACTCCATAGGGTAACGTAGCCTAAACTGCGCACACTTGATTATGTAATGTGTGAAATCGTGGACGCATCTCAAAGAGCAAAGCATAACTTATTAAATGCCCATGCTTAATCGGTCATCGATAAGGTCTATCGGTTTTAAAGGGTTACCGACAATAAATCAATCGAGTAATCGTTAGCATCCCTAGTTTAATCAATGAATGTGTTAAATTTTATATTTATATTAAAGATGAATAAGGCAAGAATATGATAATGATACTTTTTAGATTTTTACACCTACAAAAATATCTTGTGGTAGTGCACTTGTTTAATAAAAATCTTTGTAAATAGGTTATCTGTAAAAAACGCAATCAGAGCCAATGACATGTAGAAGTAGTGTTGCCTAATCGGCTATTAAATTTCTAATAAAATTAAAACCAAAGTATAACTCATTGCATTTTTCGTTTGATAAAAATATACAGAAACGAAATAAAATCATAAGGATGCTAGTTTGTAATTTATGTTAATAATAATAAAATGACATGCTTAGACTATAAGCTTAACGGCTATACGCTGCCAATAGGCCACTAATAAATATTATTTTACTTTGTACTGGATTATAATGTATATTTTACAATAAAAACTAAATATAGCATGTCTTACTGTCATTTAAAACAAGTAATTCAAAATACACATCAGAACTGTAGACCTGCAGTGGGTAAACTGTATACAGGGGGTGTTGGTCAATCAATAGCCTACAGCACATAATTGAACTAATTATGATGCTAACTGTAATTTAGCTCTGAATATAGGCCTACGATATATTTTCTGGTGTTTAATTTTGCATGAGCAAATAGCAGTATAGCCTAAAGTAAATTTTTAAAAAAGATTTTACTAATATTAATAATAATGGATATAATAAATTTAAATAATAATTGCACTGTGCAGTGTACTAAATATTTTTATTCGGCTACATAACTGAAAAACTATTTCATAACAATTTTCATAATTTTTACTGCTATTTCATATTATACAACATCTAAATGTAGCGCGGGGCCTGCGCTCGATACCAAGGAGTGGGGCTGTGTGTAGCGCCTTTAGCGTGTCAATCAATAACCAAAAGCAAGTTCATATTATAAATATATCTTTAATGATACTTATTGAAAATTCATTTAATCTTACCCCTTGTATAGATTTTTTAGTTGCACCATTAAAAAACAGAGCACTCTAGAGCCCTGCAATACTTTGTAATTAAATAAAGTTTTTTTTTGTTTTTTTTTTCTAGAAAACTGTTTTCGGAATATTTTGTCTATTAAGGAACGCAAGAACAGAACCGAAAAAATATAAATTCTGCTCAGAGTGAACCGATTGGATTTTCTTTTCTTTTTTTTTTTTTTTTTTTTTTTAGCCCTGATTATATGCCTGAATAGTAAATGTATAAATTTACTCATTCTTAATGATCTTAAAAAACACCAATTATTCTTAGACAGTTTGTAAATAATGCAATACTTCATTTAGTTATGAAAAATGAATTATAAACAAAGTATGAAAACACAAAAATTGAGCACATTACACATGCTTATAAGTCAACAATAGAGCATCTAGCTGTGTTTATAAACTGCTTACTATTAATGTAGAGTTAATGCTTAACAAATGATGTCTATTTGGAGTTTTGGTGGCTTGGTTATATGATGAAGGTCTCTGTGCATTTGTGGGGTTCAGTTCTTTATAAATATATTTTTAAATATTTTTAATGTTTTTTTTTTTTCAAATAGTTAAAATACGACAGAAACAGAAATAGAACATACTGGTGGGTTTTAAGAGTTTACCCAAATGTACATTATATTATTAATTACTTGCCCTCATCTCACTCTAATCCCCTGAGACCTTCATTTATCTTCAGACTCAAAGGAAGATAACTTAGATGAAGTGCAAGAACTCCTCATCCTCCATAGACAGCAAGGGATTGAAACAATATGAAGGAGAGGAATTAATAACAGAATCTTCATTTTGAGGTGAACTAACCGTTTAATATTGTTTGCTATTGCACTTAACTAAATGTGTATACAGACATGGAAGAGTTATGTGGAAGCTTGAGAGTTTCATGGATTTTGTGTTTACTGTTTTTTTGTGTTTAAAGGTTTTGTGGAAATTATTTATAATAAATATAACATTTATTAAATCTATTCTGGACCATTTCCTGTTTGGATCTTGAGGTTCCTTCTGTATTCAAATTACATATTTTATAAACTGACCTGCTCTTCAAATGAAAATTCTAAAGCAGTTTACTGTCAAATTACTTGATTGAGGTTTAAAATTTAATATTAGTAAGGGTGCTGATCTGATCCCCACGTTGCCTAAAAACCGGTAATGTGTGTGTAGAACTGGTCCTTACTTTTACTAAAAAACGGTAATGTGTGTGTAGACCTGGTCCTTACTTTGACTCAAAACCAGTGATGTGTGTGTAGATCTGGTCCCTACTTTGACTCAAAACCAGTGATGTGTGTGTAGACCTGGTCCTTACTTTGACTCAATACCGTTAATGTGTGTGTAGACCTGGTCCTTACTTTGACTCAATACCAGTAATGTGTGTGTAGATCTTGTCCTTACTTTGACTCAATACCGGTAATGTGTGTGTAGATCTGGTCCTTACTTTGACTCAATACCGGTAATGTGTGTGTAGACCTGGTCCCTACTTTGACTCAATACCAGTAATGTGTATCTGGAACTGGTCCTTACTTTGTCTCAAAACCAGTAAAGTGTGTGTAGAATTGGTCCCCACTTTGTCTAAAAATCGGTTGTGTATGTGGCGGACCCCACTTCTACACAAAACCTGAAATGTCCCCACAAGTGACCACTGTGTCAGGTCTAAAAAAAAATTTGCGGAATATCCAAAATCTGAAGTGATTTTATGAAATAGTTTGTGTTTTTGTGTGGCAAACTATTTTTTTTATGTCTCTAACATCATCAGAAAGGGCGGTCCCCATTACGTAACCACCGTGACAGGTGACCCCCACAATGCACAAAAACAAGTATGTGTGTGTGTGTGTGTGTGTGTGTGTGTGTGTGTGTGTGTGTGTGTGTGTGTGTATTAATAAATAAGAAAAATCTGAAGTAAAGAAATGAAACTGTAATGTAAACTACTCACCAAAATCTGGGGTTCTCCTCTCCAAGAGAAAAAAAAAACATTTATTATATGTGACTATGTAGACCTTTAGCCCTATGGACTTTTTAGATACAAACGCAAACTTGTACTATTAAAAGAAGCCGACCCAGTTTTAGTACAATTTTTAAAAGTGTATGATGATAGACATTACCAATATCCTAAATTTTAAAGGAATAGTTTAAAGTCATACAAACATTTTGAAAGCTAAACTAAATTTATTTTTATTTATAGAGCCCATATTGTACATGAAATAGGGTCATATCTTGGTTGTAAGGGTCTCCAGCAACAGTCTAATATGCATGCAAGGTCAAAAAACACTTTCATGGTCTTATAATCTGCATTTATTTTTACCTAATTATCCTATCGACTCCCATATGAATCGTCCAGTGATTCATTTGTTCAAAAACCCCTCCTTAGTGCGAAGCTAATTTGGCTGATTGGACCGATGACAGTCTGTTGCGATTAGTCGACACTGATTGCCTTATGTGACAGACAGAGTGAAATGCCCAGCAGCTAATCAACAAAATAGAAGTAGTCACAGAGCATACACGCTCAATAGTGTAAGGCGTGGAGTTTAGCTGCCAGTGGGTGAATGTAAATACAGACGATGGACTTGAAAATACAGACGACTAACTATTTTATTGAGCAAAAACTCCCAAGAACTTGCGAGATCTCCTAGCTTGTCACATTCTGCTCTTTTCACAGAAACACACACACACACACACACACACACATATTGCCCTTGTCCTCGAGCACACGTCCACACACACACTTAACCCTCCTCCAGACGACATTGCGCACACACATAACCTTCCTTTGGACGACAACGTGCGCGCGCGCACACACACACACACACACACACACACACATTACCCTCCTCCATGGGAACGTAAACAAAGCAGCACACGTCGCGTTTTTAATGTGGCTTTGCACGCGATATGAGAATATAGCCAGTTAACCTGATACAGTACACGCGGTTACAAGTAACAAAACACAACTAAATACATTTGCAAGCTAGAGTAAACGAGGCAAAAACTTTAATCGCACGTACTTACACTTGAGAAATGGATGAAGAAACTGATCATGTCCTGACATGTCGATCATTACTAGTTACTGATCCTTCCTTTAACAAACAAATTATTCTTTGTAGCATGTAGTTTCCAGTAGTTTCCAACTGCTCAAAGCTGGGCTTATGCTGAGGTTTCATCTTTGGGTAGAGACTCAATAATATCCATCTTCAGTGTGACTTCAATCGACCGGCATGTTTGTGTGTGTGTGTGTGTGTGGGTTTCTGTGTTAGAGGGCAGGGCCGCAGGTTTCAAATCTCCCGGGTTTGCGCGTGCACGTGAATAACTTTGTTGTCACGTCATGGCGAAACACCTAATGACTCGGTATCAAGACGGCTCGTTTGAAGCACTATGAGTCGACTCTTTTATAGCTGAATCAACAGTTTTAACACTGTACACTTACAGATTTAAGCCTTAGCTGGATATTTCACTTTACTTAGAGCTGTGTTACACACTACATAGAGGTGCATTTTCAAAAATCCATAATATGGGCTCTTTTATATTAATAACATGAGGGTGAGAAATTAATAACATAATTTTTTATTTTGAGTTAACTAAACCTTTGTACTAATAAATACCTGCCTCTCCCTTTCCTCTAGTACCTGGTCAGATGCTTTATGTCCGTCTGTTTCAAAGGAAGCTGAAGTGGCTTCAGGTCTGTAAGGTGGAATACACAGAGATCAGCACAGATCTCAGACCTGTCGTTCAAGAGCTTGTCGCATGTGGCTTCCTACAGACAGGTGAGTAGTGTTATAATTCTCCTAAAAATGTAAAGTCTGTCATTATTCACTCATCTTCTACTTGTTCAAAACCTGTTTGAGTTTCTTATTTTGAAGATGTTCTAAAGAAAGTTGGAATAAAGCAGACATTGACTTCCATAGTACTTTTTGTTCCTACTATGCATGTCAAACGCTTACATTCTTCAGATTAGCTTGTTTTGCGATCAGCAGAAGAATAAATTCATAAAAGTTTACAACTAACTTGAGTGTGAGTAAATGATAAAAGAATTTTTCAGTTTTTCAGGTAAACCCCCTTTGAGTAAATAGTTATAAATGTACAGAAGGCAACATTTTACTACCTTTGAGTTCTTCCTTGTGACAGAATCTGAGCTTCATGATCTCCACGAAGTTTTGGATCTGCTTCCGGCACCAGAGCTTAGAAACCTGGCCAAAACATTTCACCTTGGCCGTGGAGGGAGTCAGAAACAGCAGTTGGTGGAGGGTTTGCTCCAGCTGGGGAAACAGCGATCTCTCTTTGCTGGTCAAAACAACACAGCTGCAGTCATTCTCAAGAGGTACCACAGTAGAGTGATTTTAGCCAGAGATTTGTTATACACCATTCATGAGGTAGTTGTGGCCTGGTTAGACAGTCTTTAATTAAAAAAAGTAATTAATTAGTAATTACATCATTATAAATTTATTTCATAATTACTATGTTTAAAAAGTCATTTATTAAGTCAATAAGAATTACTTGACTAAATACTATTTAAATAAAAAAAAAATTAAATCTAAAAAAAATTTTAATCTAAAAGCCTATATAAGCACAAAGACAATCTAAAAGGATCTTTTTTAATACATTGAGTCACACATTGCATAAGCATTTTAATAACAGACATAACATTTAGTTAACAAACAGAATTACTCTGAAAAACAAAGAAAAATGTATCATTTTATGCTCAATGAAACAATCAAAACAATATCACCATATTCAAATACATAAAGTATATTGTAATTGATGTTGTTTTGCAAGAAGTAAATTCAATGTAAACTGAAATAAAAGATAAAAACATTGTGTTTTTCAGGTTTGAAAATGAAAACTTAAATAAAAAACTAAAATAAACATTTAAAAAATAAATAATAAAAATAAACAATTAATAAAACATATAGTTAAACACAACATAATTGCTAACACATTGAAATAAATTGATATAAGTTGGAAACCCAAAAAATATAATAAACACTAAAAAAGTATCTCAGTGGCACTGAACTTTATATTCAGCAAAATATACTATATACAGAGTATACCCCATTTTGAAAATGAATATTTTTCTCCATTTTTCAGTGAATAAAGGCAATGTATATTGATGCATTTGAACAAAACAGATTTATTAAACAGATATATTTATTAAATAATATTTTAGTCACAAAACTTCTTTAGAAATGCAAAGATGACACAATTAAATTCAAGCAAAATATTGGGGAAATTTTTTTAATTACAACATTTCAACAAAATTGTATAATATTTTTGTTTTTGTTGATTTTTGCTATTTTTGAAAATTTGATATAATATTTTTCTATAACATAAATTTGTGTACTAGTTTTTTAACTGTTATTGTAAGTTATTTTGTTAGATAAGCCCCAGATTTGGCTTCAGTACTGACTAAAACAAAGTATATGCACAAATATAATATAGTAATGCTTTCAATAGAAAAATATTAATTGAAATGATAGATTTGTGGGGGTATACTCGTATATGATGAACACTATATATTACAAAAAAAGTAAACGGCACAAATGTTTTCAATATTAATAAAAAAAATAAGTGCTTATTTAAGAGATAATTAGCAATGAAGACTGAACTAAAGACTCTTAAAGTTTAGTTTTGCATCACAGTAAATATAGTAGTCGCGCCAATGCATTTATTTGGTTAGAATTTGATTAAAAGCTTTACTATTTTGATAAGACTTACTTTATGCTTAATTTATACTTATGAATTTTAATTGTCTTTTCACAAGAATAAAATACATTTTGCTGTAATTCTGACTTAAATGCAGGCTATAATATACAGAAGTGTATCATATCTTTACAGAACAAATATCTTTTGATAAGTAATGTTCTGTACAATACTTGACAAAAGTCTTGTCGCCTATCCAAGTTTTAGCAACACCAAATAATAACTTGACTTCTAGTTGATCATTTGGTATCTGAAGTGGCTTATATGAAAGGCAAAGGCCTCTAGATTACGCTTATTTTACCAAAATAAAATATGATCATGCCTTGATTTTTAATTATTTAATTTGGAGAGTAATGCCTGACTTTGCTTTGTCAAAAGTCTTGTCACTTAACAGAAATAATGTACACTATAGAATCTTAAGTCATAGTGCAGTGGAAAAGGAATTAATATTGTGTATGACTCCCGTGAGCTTGGACGACTGCATCCATACATCTCTGAAATGACTCAAATAACTTATAAATAAAGTCATCTGGAATGACAAAGAAAGCGTTTTTGCAGGACTTTCAGAGTTCATCAAGATTTTTTGGATGCACCTTGACCTTCTTTGCTTTCAGGAACTTTGATGTGGAAACTGGAGTATGAAAAAGAGCGCTATCCCGCTGAAGAACTTGCCCTCTCTTGTAGTTTCTAATGTAATGGGCAGCACAAATGTCTTGATACCTCAGATTGTTGATGATGCCATCCAGATCTCTAGCACGCACCCATACTGAATGTAATCTCAAACCATGGTTTTTCCTTCACTAAACTTTACTGATTTCTGTGAGAATCTTGCGTCCATGTGGGTTCCAGTGGCTCTTCTGCAGTAGTTGTGATGATTGAGATGCAGTTTAATAGATGATTTTTTGAAAAAATCTACTTTCTGCCACTTTTCCAAATGATCAACTAGTCAAGTTTCTATTTGTTGCTCTTACAACTCGGATCGACGACAAGACGTTTTGTCAGGTAGTGTAAGTGAACTGTACACTTCAGCTTGTTTTTTTTCCAGGGCTAAGCAGGCTGCAGGCTCCTGTGTGCGTCTGTGCCGCAGCTCTCGTGTTGTGTTTTCCCGGGTCCTGCTCCTCTTCACCCTCACAGACACTTTAGAGGAGGAGGATTTGGCTTCTGGAGGGCAGGGGCAGCTCTACACCATTCTGCTGGTCAATTCTGGTCGTCTGGCTTTCCCAGAGTACACCGTACATCGCTCAGCCAGACTCTTTAAGGACAGGGATGACCTCATCAGGTTAGTTTTACATTTATTTTTTAATAATTCTTTGCAGTGTAGGTGTATCCCACAGGCCATAATGAGTCACATTTCACTCCTAATTTAGAAGAAGTAAAAACTGTATATATTTTTGACTGAACATTGTCATACTTGTCTGTGTTAGGAGTACTTTTTAACGATAATTATGTGCAGTTTTTATAATACTATTTATCATAATAAAAATGTCAAATGCAAAAAGACATTAATATTATGCAAATTAAACAAAATGAAGAGACCACAATGAAGTGTGTATTGAACTTACTAGGTATATATTTGAGCAAAATGTTATTATATGTTATTTTTTATAAAACTCTGATAACATTTCTTCTAAATTTCAAATATAAGGATTGTTATTTAGCGATTTTTCTGGTTGAAATTGAGGGCTGCTCGTTGGCGCAGTGGGTAGCACGATCTCCTCACAGCAAGGCATTTCTGTGTGGAGTTAGCATGTTCTCCCCGTTTGCTTGGGTTTTCTACTTGTGCTCTGGTTTTCCCCAAAGTCCAAAGACATGCACTATAGGTGAATTGGGTGGGCTAAATTGGAAGTAGTGTATTCGTAAATGCAAGAGTGTATGGTTGTTTCCCAGTGTTGGGTTGGGTTGGGTCGGCTGGAAGGGCATTGGCTGCGTAAAACGTGCTAAATAAGTTGGCTGTTCTTTTCACTGTGGCGACCTCTGGTAAATAAAGGGATTAAGCAGAAAAGAAAATGAATGAATTAATAAATGAATGGTTGAAATTGGCAATTGGTCAAAACGACAGATGTCTTCATTTGTTGGTATTGAAAATCAGGGTTATTCTGCCAAATATTAATGTCTTAACAGTTGTATTGTTGGACCAGTGTTTCTCAACTGGTGGGTTGGGTCGCGGGAACATTTTCAGTGGGTCGCGGAGTGTAAGGTCAAAAAAACAACAAAAGTTATCACTTTTACTTATTTTGCTTAAACCGGACCTTTATTTTGAAATGCATGCACGACAACCCTACCGTTTGACATGGGAAATTTCATTTAATTTTTGCAACAAATTTGTCGATTAGCAAGTACGACCCCGAATATGTAAAGTATGGATATATATATATATATAGACGACAAAAAAGACTTAAAGCGTCAATGTCATGTGTACTGAGATGCTCTCATAAGAGAGCATGAAACCTTCTGAATTAAACAACATTTAGAAACCAGAAAACCTGTTTTATTACCAGTTTATTATTAATAGTATTTTTTGTTTTTATTTTGTAATATTTCTATAATTTGATCCATTTTGTTAAAAGACAGCAATAAAATATTGTTTATTTGTAAGTCTTGGTGAATTTATTATAATGTATCTGTCACTACTAGTTTATGAACAAACAAATAACAAATACAAATAACAAATAAATACAAATTAAGTATAATTCCTAAAATTGTATTATAGTTTCTAAAAATTTGGGTCGCGGCTTGATGACAATGTAAAAATGTGGGTCCCATGGCTAAACCAGTTGAGAACCCCTGCTTTAGATGTATGGCCATGTATGGCTCACTAAATGCGATGTATACTGTAAATACACATTACATTGTATTACATTACATTACATTACATTACATTATGTTCTATAACTATTATGATTGATTCTGTTAATGATATCATTGAGAAATGTTTGATTATTCTTCTGCACAGATATGAAACTGCGATGCGTGCGCTTCAGGAAGTGATTGCTGCAATGCAGTCGGGCAGCTGGGAAGACGCCTATGACCTCTATACTACAGCAATGGCCGCCTGGCAGGAGATTAAAGATTCCTGTGACTTAAAGTAATTTGTTCATTTAATTTCTTCACAATTATTGAGTTATAATTAGGCATGGGATGATAACCGTTTTCAAGGTATACTGCTTTTTGGTAAACTCAAGGTTTTAAAACTGCCAAAACTTTCTGCTATACCGTTCCTCTGATAAATAAAAGTTTTCTTTTTATGTTTTCTTTTGTTTGTTTGTTTGTTTGTTTGTTTAGGACAACAGTATCTCTAGCAGAAAAGATATTCAAAGATACCGTTTTAAATTGTGGAAAAATCTGTATTTTTGAATCTAATGATGACGAAATCAGTGCAGAAGTCGATCATTCATTTGAATTATTTAGCCTGACATTTTTACTGCTTCAAAATATTTGAAAATGTTTATTAAACTAAGCTATATTGTGTTCAAATGGGGAAAAATATGATATTTTTATTCAAGGTTATCATGCCATCAGAATCTTACACCGGCCCGTGCCTAGTTATAATGAATGAGTGATATAGAATAAGATATAATTTGATGATAAGAAAAATATTATATATTATATAATTATGTATGAATATTTTGCAGTCATCAAGAACAGCTGCCTGTGTTTCTGCGCTGTTTCACTGTGGGCTGGACCTACACTCGCATACTTTCTCGTGGAGTTGAGATTTTGCAGAGACTTAAGCGCTACGAGGTAGGAGGAAACAGAAAATATAGAAAAATGTATATTCAATGCCTTTGTATGCTACCCCGCAAAAGTTTATGGTCAGTACAATTTTAAAAAAATATTTTAATGAATGTTTTTCTGCTTACCATTTTTGGCTTTATCTAATAAAAATACATACTTTTTTTTTTTAAAGACTTTTTTAGTTTCTTTGATTCGAAACTGAATTTTCAAATACTTCAGAAATTAATATTATGATCTGCTGCTTGGGAAACATTTATTATGATAAACTTAAGTGTACTGAAAGATATAGAGGTGTATAAAGGTTATTTCTCAGCCCAGGGGGTTTTCTTTACCTGTTTGTTTTTATTCATTTAATTAAATTCTTATGTGTTGGCTTTGTTCTGTAATAAGTAAACAATCACAAAAAAGAAACATTTATTTTTTGTTTTATGATTATTTATTTATTGCAGAACAAAGCCAGCATACATAGCTTGCAACAACTATATACAAGCCAGGGTTTGCATTAAATGAAAATGCTTTTTTTAAATGAAATAAATCAATAACAATAAACAGGAAAAAGAAAAATAATAAATTGTAATAATATTTCACAGTTGTAGTCTTTTTACTGTGTTATTGACCAAATAAATACATCCTTGCCGAGCAGAATAGGCTTTTTTTTTTTAAATACAATGATCCAAACACCAGAAGGGTCGTGTATATTGATTTTTGTTCATTATCTTTACACACTTTACAGGATGCAGTAGAGCAGCTGAGAAATCTCCTGTCTCAGTCGGTGTATTGTGTAGACAGTAGGGGGCGCTGGTGGGACAGGCTTGCTCTCAATCTCCAGCAACACCTGAAACAGCATGAGCAGGTACCTCCACTCATTGTAGATGAATGTAAACAGACGAATGTTACTTTTGAATACTATACACAAATATTTCTTTAGTTCACTGATTCATTTTGACATATTTGTATCAAGGCCATCGGTGCTATCCGGGATGGACTGAATGACCCTCTGGCCCGAACAGGACATAAGTTGTCACTTTACCAGCGAGCTTCACGAATGAAGGAGTCTGCTAGCTTGAAGAAGTATCGTCTGTTGCTCCGGGATCTGCCTACTGTCCACGTACAGGATGTCACTCATGTGAGTAGAATATTAGTTTTATTTTATTTTATGTGCTATTTAAGTATATTAAGTATTTTGAATTATTATTTTTTTATTATTAGTTGTTTTTAATAATTTTATTGACATTTGTTGTAATAATTATTTTATAATGGTAACTAATTAGCTAAAAAGGATAACATTTTAAGATTTTTTTAGGCTTTTAATAATTATAAAAATGTATAATTAATTAAGAATCATAAATTTTATCATTATCATTATTTGTTTGTTTGTTTAAAAATTTATAATTTTAAAATATTATTAATATTTAATTTAATCTCTAATAAAGGGACTATGCCGACAAGAAAATGAATGAATGAATGGATTTAAAGAGCCCATATTATGGGTTTTTGAAAATTCCCTTCCATGTAGTGTGTAACACACCTCTAAGTGAAGTGAAGTATCCAGCTAAGGCTTAAATCTGTAAGTGTACAGTGTTTAAAACTGTTGATTCATCTATAAAAGAGTCGACTCATAGTGCTTCAAACGAGTCGCCTTGATATTGATTCATTAGGCGTTTCGCCATGACGTACGAACGAAACCAAGTTATTCACGTGCACGCGCAAACCCGGGAGATTTCAAACCTGAGGCCCCGCCCTCTGATGCAGAAACCCAGACACACACACACACACCCACACACACCCACAAACACACGCACACAAACATGCCGGTCGATTGAAGTCACACTGCAGATGGATATATTGAGTCTCTACCCAAAGATGAAACCTCAGCATTATAGCCAAGCAGTTGGAAACTACTGGAAACTTCTGCAAACTACATGCTACAAAGAATACTTCATCTGCGTTTGTTTAAGGAAGGATCAGTAAAGTGTAACTTACTGATGGATGTCAGGATGGATTTTTCTTCCTCCATTTCTCAAGTGTAAGTACGTGCGATTAAAGTTACCTCGTTTACTCTAGCTTGCAAATGTATTTAGTTGTGTTTTGTTACTTGTAACCGCGTGTACTGTATCAGGTTAACTGGCTATATTCTCTTATCGCGTGCAAAGTCACGTTAGCGTCAGAAAGCCGCGTGTGTTATTCCGGTCACAAAATCCAACACGAGGTTATAGTTTGGCTGTAACTGTTAGTGCTAACTTGTTTACACTTGTTGCAATAGTTTGTTTGATACGAATAAAATATGAACTGAATAAACAAAGAGCACTGGTCGCTCACTTACCAAATCTGTAGAGACAGGACAATCAACAGCAACTAGAGCCGCGTCTTTATTTAGAGGAGACTACAATCTGGATCTCAGCGTTTGCAGATAAGAACAGCTCTCAGGTAAACAATAATCCTCCTCAGACACGTAAGTTATTGTTGTCGAGCGTTGCGTACACTGTTAATCCACGCGTGAGTCTGAGCTCTCACAGAGAGAAAATGAAAACGAAACTTAATTGCAGCAAACTATAAAAGCAACACTTCACGCTTGTTTTGCCAACACAACGTGTGTGTGTGTGTGTGTGTGTGTGTGCGTGCGCGCGTTGTCGTCCGGAGCAGGGTTAAGTGCGCGTGTGTGTGTGTGTGTGTGCACAATATGTGTGTGTGTGTCTGTGAAAAGAGCAGAGTGAGAAGCTAGGAGATCTCCTCAACTGTTTTTGGAGTTTTTGCTCAATAAAATAGTTAGTCGTCTGAAATTTCAAGTCCATAGTCTGTATTTACATTGACCCACAGGCAGCTAAAATCCACGCCTACACTATCGAGCGTGTATGAACTGCGATTACTTTTATATTGCTGATTAGCTGTTTGGCATTTCACTCTCTGACTGAAGGCAGTCGACCAATTGCAACAGACTGTCATTGGTCCAATCAGCGCAGATTAGCTTCGCGCTAAGGAGGGGTTTGGGAACAAATGAATCACTGGACGATTCATACAGGAGTCGCTGGGATAATTAGGTAAAAATAAATGCAGATTATAAGACCATGAAAGTGTTTTTTGACCTTGCATGCATATTAAACTGTTGTTGGAGACCCTTACAACCAAGATATGACCCTATTTCATGTATAATATGGGCTCTTTAATCTCTAGGGATAGAAAATGCTTCTATTATCCTCATATGTAAGTTGCTTTGAATAAAGGCATATGCTAAGTAACTAAATGTAAATGTAATTTTTTTTTTTAGACATTTTTAAATAAAATTTTAAATATCAATTTAGATCATTATTATATCTATTAATAATATTAACATATGTACAATATAACTTTTTTACTTTTTTAGTAGCTGTAGTTACCAATCTTGATGTTCAACTGGCAACATTTTAAGAGAGTGTTTTAACAGGTGACGATTCGAGGCCAGCTCTTTCCTCATGAGGGTGGTATGGGTAAATCAGTGTTCCTCCGAGCAGCCAGTGAGGATGAAGGCTCTGGAGGAGGACAAGGGACTGTGTTGATGTGTTCAGTTGAGGATCTGGCTCTGGAGCACTACAGAACACTTGGATTTGATCAAGGTCTGCCATCACATTGTTTGAGCACTCATAGTAAAGCAAATTAAAGGGACAGTTCACTCAAAGATGGATCATTAACTCAGCCTCGTGTCATTTCAAAACTTCTGAAAAAGGAGAATTTTTGAAGAGCTTACTTTGTTACTATGCAGAGATGAAAGGGGCTGAAGATGAACATCTTGTCATCTGCGCTAATAGCCTAGCTTTATTTCATTGAACATTATTGAACATTGAACATTATTGATCATTGAAAAGATTAGACTATTGCTACTTCAGTCATGTACCGACGTTTTATGAAAACTTTCACATTTCACTTTTCATTTTTCTTAAAGATATTTGACTTCAGAAGACTTCAAGTAATCATTTAGGCCCATTTTTTTTTATATAGTTTTATGGTGCTTTTAGAATTCCTAAAGCTTGAAAGCTTCTTTCAGTGCAACTGAGAAGAGGAGCACAGTGTATTCCATGAATTTATTGTTTTAAAATCTGAATTTAAAGGGCACCTATGATGAAAACCATCTTTTGTAAGCTGTTTGCACAGAACTGTGTGTCGGTATAGTGTGTCCACTGTCATATCAGGGTGATATAAAGACAATAAGTCTTTTTTTTGTTTTCTAAAATAAGATCCAAATCCCTCCTATATTGAAGCCAACCACAACGTTACATAGGAGTGTGTTTTCCCCGCCCACCGAAAGGATTGACAGCCGCGTATTAACATGTTTCTGTAGTAATGCGTATAATCATATCAACAAGACAGGACGTGAGCAAAGCAACTGGGATTAAAAGATCTGTTCAGCTTTCTGTTATCATCAATCATCATCAAATGTGATCAAGAGTGAGTTTTACACGTTTAAAACTTTTTAAAACGGTGCATGTTTGTAATGATTTACAGTGATTTTACCATCTGTACTTCATCACTACAGCCACGTCACTATAAATTATAAAAGAAGATGCTTCAATCCTGGTTTTTAATGCTAAATCAGGTTTATTTATTTAAATTGGATATCCATACAGCAGTGGGTATTACGTGTATTCTGTCACAATTGCCTTGCAAAAACAGTGCAAAGTTAAACATGCACACTGTTTCTGTGTGTTTGCGTGAACTTTGTAACAATATTGAACAAATACATCAAATAATCAAAGGTAAAGTTCTTACTGTAGTATTTTTCACAATGGTTACATGAGATCAGCTTTCTTCATGTCTGTCACTGTGCTGTTTATCTCACGCAGCCAGAGATTGAGGCCCACTCTGACATGGTGGGCGAGGAGAAGTAGCATTAAAAGCACTGGCAACAAATACAGCTACATTGTTCAGAGCAGAAATTCCAATATTCTAAAAGGTATAACAAATAATCGGATGGGTGTTTTAAGCTGAAACTTTACAGACACATTCTGGAGACACAAAAGACTTCTCTTAAATCTTGAAAAAGGAGTATAATAGGTGCCCTTTAATATTGCTGAAGTGTGATCACATATATTTAATGTAGCATCTTAAAATTTGTAAAAAAGCTGAATAATTACTTGAATTCTTTTGACTTAAATGTTAATTAATAATACCACCTGATATTTTTCTCTTTTATTACTATATAACAACACATTTGCATGCTTTTTATTCTACAACATTAGTTTTTTTTATTTAATATTGAGTGTTTTATTAATTTATTTGTTGTTGTTGTTGAAAATTCTGCACTAGTGCATGGATTTGTACATGTATTTCAAAGATCGGATTGCTGTTTTAAGGTATTCATGGAGAAGGATCTACATTTTCCACCCTGTTTGGACTCCTCATGTGGGACATCATTTTCATGGACGGGGTTCCTGATGTCTTCCTAAACCCCTACCAGGTACAGAATAATTAAGGAAAGAATGCTGTTTGATTCTCACATTAAGGGTCAGGACATGCACACACACACACACACAGGTCAATAATTTCATAACTCCCTGCCCTTTCCCAGACGTGTCCTCTGGATTTGCACACGGATTGTTTCTATGGCAGTCGGCGGGAGGCCATCGAGGCTCGTGCAGAGATGTTGCGTGAGGCATCTGTAGAGACACTGCAGGATCTGATCGCTGATGTGTGGAGCACGCAGGAGGGAAGAGTGTGTGCGCTGATAAACTGGGAGCGATTCTCCACGCCTCAGCAGGCACAGGTAATCACACACTCTATACTGCTAGTCTGTTTACACAACAACTATCTTAGTAATAGCCTTCGCCAGCTTGAATGAGGAAGCCTGTTTACAAATTGATTACTTTTCAAAAGTATAATTCAAATTGGCAATGAAGTCTGCCAATAATGGTATTGCAAATGTAATTTCTGAATCTCAACTGAGGCAAGAAATAGGCCATTCTCTTGAACTGTAGATTGTTTGTTCTGCTCTGAAAAAAAATATGTTTTGAATTTCTTTGTTGGTTTGTTTTTATTTTTGTATTTAGGTTGTGTTCACAATTGTACTTTGTTTTTCTTGGTTCATTCTATGGTGGCTGAGAGAGCTTAACATGCTGCAATTTAAGAAAACACATGCAATTACAAAAAACTAAGATATTCACCAGTTTGACAGCTGACTTGCTGCAAATCCTCACAACGCAAACATATAAAAAAAAATATGCTGCATTTTCCTACAACGTAAACAAATTAAAAAAACGCACTTCATTTTCTCACAACGCAAACAATTTACGAACACGTGCTGCATTTTCTCACAACGCAAACAAATTGATAAAATGCGCTGCATTTTCTTACAAAGCAAACAATTTACGAACACGCGCTACGTTTTCCCACAACACAAAAAGAATGGAACACAACAAATGTTTCAAGGGGGCCCATGTTTGAGGGACGCTGCTGTGCCATGACTATTGTGATCTTTAAAAGGTGAGTTTTTTTTTCTTTGTTTATTTTAACCCTTTAAGGTGCACTCCTTGAAAATATTTTTTGACCCACATCGTATATTGAATAATATGCTCGCAAAATTCTGATAAATAGTAATAAGAAATTTCAAAAAAATTGATAACCTATGGTCAACCAGGTCGTTATGATGCCTGATACTCTGATTCCTATGTCTTTAGTATTTATTAGCCTAAATAACCATAACCTAAATAGTTGGGTCTGTCACGTTTTAGGGTCTCCTTGAAACATTTACATTGTGTTGTGAGAAAATTCAGCGCATTTTTGTAAAAGTGTTTGCGTTGTGAGAAAATGCAGCACATTTTATTAATTGTTTGCGCTGTAAGAAAATGCAGCGCATATTTTAATAATGTGTTTGCTTTGTGAGGATTTGCAGCAAGTGTGCTGTCAAACTGATAAAGATATTTTCTCAATTTGCTGGTTGTAACTGTTTTTTTGTAACTGCACTTGTTTTCTTAAATTGCAGCGTGTTAAACTCTCTCAGCCACTGTATCATTCTGTCCTGACCACAGATCAAAAGTCCTTATTAACTTACGGCTCGTTCTACTGATCGGTGGGGTTCAGTTCAGTACAGTACACATTTATTTCCATTTCCACTGTCAGAAATACTAAAATCTAAACCATACCACTTTTTTGTGAGCATTTTGTAAAAGTATCTAGCACAACAGTACCAAAAGGGTGTGATAGACTCACTTTTACAGAGAAACGTAATTTGTGCGTGTAACAAGACAACAAAGGAGCATTTTGAAAAATACAGTCAAAACTACTGTGACAGCGTGCAGCAATGAACTATGCTCAAACAAAGCCTGTTTCTTCTTGAGGCAAACAGCCATGACAGGAAGCAAGAACAGGATCTGCTGTATGTCCTCTATTTTTGTTTACAGGGCCATTCACGTCTTGCATTTAAACATGTGAAAAACACATGGGGCATTTTTGTTTTTATTTGCTCACACTTGCTGCATGTCTACATTTGAAATAATAAAGGAGTTCAGAAAGGATTCGATATGTAAATGGATAGTACAGTTTTCTTTTTTTTAAGTGAGAATAATGTTGATCTCAACTTATCAGCATACAACACTCCTGGCAGTGGAAACACATGCCTGGTCAACTTCAGGGTGACCCATACAAGATTATACTGTACTGAATTATACCGTGTTGCTCACTGGAAATGAGGCATTAGCCTTGACATTGTCATGTTTAATTCAAAACTTAAACATGCAGAGAAAAAAGACCTTGTGACAGAACTTACTGGACATCCAGAACTGTGTTATGTGTTGAACCAAACATGCTTTATGTGTGCATAATTGGAATTTTTAAAACCTGAGAACTAAAGCAGTCAAAGCATCATCAGGGATTCATCTGTCACACATAAATAAAGATGCAAGGATCCTGACACCTGTATTGAATTGTACTGGGAACATTTGTGACTATGATAGTTGAACTGCATGGGATTTGTCTTTTTAGCAGTCTCGATCTGCTTGTTTGTTTCACACCTAAGTTCAGTTGGTGGCATTGACACTCACTCAAAAGACTGCACTGACAGGGCAATCAAGTTGTTTTGATCAAACCAAAGCTGCCAAGTGTGAGCACACCCGTACCGGAATGTGTTAAGGTAATTCACATCTTCTTGATTCTCAGTGTATACACACCTGTGCATACTCCATACACTGTTATCATAGATTGGCCAGTTTGTTCTGCAGACTTATTTTCAGGCCCACTCACATGTTTAAAACCTATTTAGATTTGCTTGAAGTTTGCCCTGGAAAGTGGAGTGTTTCTAATAAAGTATCTGTTTCATATGGTAATGAAAACAGTGTTTCCTGCAGGTGGTTTGTCAAGCCTACTCACCTGCATTAAGTACACTCAGAATTGCACAATTTTTAATGTAACACACTTGTTATAACTGATGTAAAGGAACTACACATCAATTGCATGTCTTGTGGATAGCGTGGTGACGTAATGATGTTAATCGAATTATGTGCTATGACATGTAAAACGAGATCATGAAATAAACTTTTAAAAAGCAACTCATGTAAACACCTTAATCATATTATTTTCTTATTCAGATTAAGGCAAATAATTCAATTTTGATGTCCTTGTAAAGGTAGTCAATGATACTCAACAAGGACTAAGGAAGCATCTGGAAATGAAATGGAGTACATGCACACAGACTTTTAATTTCAGTCAGCCAGTCCCCAGGGTTTCCTGTGAATTGTCATCCAATACAAAATCGCCAGCGATCTTCACTGCTTGGCTGAGATACAATATAAAGTGGGTATCAGACCAAACAAGGAGCACTGCATTAATTTCTATTTTTCTGCGCCATGTCTTCAAAATATAAAAATGAATTTTAACCCAGTATTTTCATTTCTGTTCAGTATTTTCATTTGAGTTTCTGCACTAGCTTGCTGCTAATGACGGTGCCTGCATTTAAACGGTCTTTCATCTCTTTGTAGGCTTTAACAACTAATTGGATGCTTAAGTCTATTTAACTGATTATATTTTAATTACATTACAACATCGATGCTGTGAAAGCAACCTTATGAAATTGAAAATAGTCACCTAAACCTTTCACTGGAAGTTCATCATTGGCTGGAAAACGCTAGCTGTGCATATTATTTCAATCAGATGTTTTGTTTCTGCATTGTGCTGTAAGTGGTAGACCAATTTGAGACACTTTAGGCTCTATTTTGACAATCTAGGCACAAAGTTGCATGCCGCAAAAGTTAGGGTTAGGACGTTTCCGAATTTGCTTTTGCTATTTAAAGGATGGAAAAATATGGTTTGCGCTGCGCTGCATGGTCTAATAGGGTTGGGCTTATTCTCTTAATGAGTTATGGGTGTTTGCGTTTGAACATAATGTGCATTAAACCAACCAGAGTCTCATCACCCATTCCTTTTAACAGTCAGTTGCGTCACGCCATGACACATTTGCTACTTACATGGCAGACTTTGTAAGTGGAAAAACTGAATGGTAAAACTGAGTCCATAAAGTTGTGCAAATGTATTTGCTATTTAAACAACATGACGCAAAATGTGAAAATTAGGCTTGCACTGACCTGAAAGTAGCAAAAAAATCATGCTAAACCCGTCTTGTGCCTTATTGCGCCGTGTCTGATAGGGCCTTTCATGTTCCTAGATGCAAGCACAATGTTAAAGCTTTATTTTCTCTATATTTTAGAGTCTAGTGGCATGCCTTGGTGGCCACTTCTTGAGTGGTGTGTTCCTCAGAATGGCCAAAGACTACAGGCACTGCAGAGGAGGACTTCCAGATCTGGTGGTCTGGAGTACTTCCAGCAACAAGTATAAGGTGAGGCTTTTAAACACTCCAAAAAGTAACTTTTTTTAAATGCTTTACTAAGGTGGTGTAGGGACCTTAAATGTTGCTCATTTGAGATACATTTGCCTTCTAGCTGGTGGAAGTGAAGGGCCCTAATGACCGTCTGTCCCAGAAGCAACAGATATGGCTGGATGAGCTGCGTAAACTCGGGGCAGATGTAGAAGTGTGTCACGTCACGGCTACTGGAGCACGAGGAGCTCGACGGGAGTGAAGCTGCTGTCACTCTCAGAAGGAAAGTTAGAAATGCTTGAAGCAACACTGGATGGATTTAATGATGCATTAAAGTTTGACCTCAATTTGCCACTGATCTGATGTAAGAAAAGAATATTAATAGGCACTCTAAGGGGATTTATTCCCCATCTGAAGACTGTTAAATTACCTCATGGCGCTGATTGACTGACTTTTATTATTGTGCTCATTGTAAAGTGAGAATATATTTGAATGACTTTTTTAATGTGACATTTATAGAATAAATCATTTTAAAGAAATTAAATAAAAGCATTTTAAAAGGTTTTTGAAATGTTAATAATGCTTAAATAGTGATGCAAGACATAAGCACATAATGTTGCAGCTCGTAAAATAGGATTCCATTATGTTTTGTTATGTCTATTATTGTGGTCAAAGAACTATGCATGACCACATTCCTTTTCACTGCATATTCATTCAAGCATATCCTTCACGTCTGACAGCCAGAATTAAACATACTCTTTTGTTGCAGAAGTCAAACTTAGCTCTTTTTTAAGATCTATTCAAAACAATGCCATACACTGTTGTTTTAGTAAAGCATGCCTTTCGTTATGAAGTTTGCATGTCTCTGTAAAGCACATTCATTAGGTAAATGCTTGTAAAAGGGCACTTGAATTTTCTTAATGTTTAGTTAGTAAATTTCAATGTAACACTGAACAACAGAGGTGAACAAGGTAGCATTAAAACCCACTACTTTAGTCATTCAATAATTATAAAAAACACAAAATAAATAGTTTATATTAGTAATATCCTGCTTGCACTTATGAAATAAGTTACAAAAAAACCTACAAAACCTTAACGTAAATTTAATGTTTTTTTGTATTCCAAAATGTTGAATGAAATGCAGTTTAATCTAGAAGCTTTCTAAATCATTTATAATTTCCACTGCTAGTCTTCAAAATCAATGCTCATAAATATATATTTTTTAAATTGTGTAAATTGTTCTCTGACTGGCTGCACAATGCAATACTTTAGCTGCTTTATTTGAGGAGTTTGTGAAAAGATGACATGAGTATAAATATTGGATGTTTATTCCCAAAAATATGATTGTACGTGAGGGTATTGACAGCAAACATACTACTGCATGCTGTAGTCTGTTGTTGCCCTGCCAGCAACTGTGAATGCCTGACTCAACATGTCTGCTATCATTCAGTCTACCTTAATGTAAAATTAACAAGCATTTATTAAGATATCTGCATGGCAAGCTGTTTTGACATTTATCCTCAAAAGCACAGTGTGTAATTTTTGCCACTAGAGGGCCTGTATTCCCAACAAACAAAGTAGTTTAATGAGACTAAGAGTTGCAGTCTTCATTACATCGTACAGGCTTTCTTGCAGAAATCAGGTTTATAAATAAGCTAAAGTATTCAAGACATTATAATGGTAGTTTAAGGACAAGTAATGCTGTTGAAGTAAAGCAAGATCCCTGAAGCAATTGCTAATGAGAGACTAGCACGATGGATTTATTATGCCACAGTCGATTAGAATAATACGTTTTTATTTGGCCGGTCTTCTGATTTTGGGAAAGAAGCAGCACTGTTTTATTATACTAAATACAGTTTAGTACAGTTTACTGTAATAATGCTTCTCTGTGCAATATAATAAAATGCACAAAGCGTTTTGTTTTCTTTTTTTTTTTTATAACACCAAACCAGAAATCGAGGATGTAAGAAGTCATTAGCATGGCGACACGACTCTGCCAATGTCTCTTGTTAATATTGTTTATTTTTATTACTTAAACTCACTGGCCACTTTATTAGGTACACCTGTCCAACTGCTCGTTAATGCAAATTTTTTAATCACCCAATCACATGGCAGCAACTCAGTGCATTTAGGCATGTAGACATGGTCAAGACGATCTGCTGCAGTTCAAAGCGAGCATCAGAATGAGGAAGAAAGGTGATTTAAGTGACTTTGAACGTGGCTTGGTTGTTGGTGCTAGATGGGCTGGTCTGAATATTTTGGAAACTGCTGATCTACTGGGATTTTCAGGCACAACCATTCTGTTGGGTTTACAGAGAATGGTGCAAAAAATTTGTGGGCACAAATGCCTTGTTGATGCCAGAGGTCAGAGGAGAATGGCCAGACTGGTTTGAGCTGATAGAAAGGCAACAGTAACTGAAATAACCACTCGTTACAACTGAGTTATGCAGAAGAGCACAACATGTCTAACTTTCAGGCGGGTGGGCTACAACAGCAGAAGACCACAATGGGTGCTACTCCTGTCGGCTAAGAACAGGAAACTGAGGCTACAATTTGCACAGGCTCTCCAAAATTGGACAACGGAACATTGGAAGAACGTTGCCTGGTCTGATGAGTCTCGATTTCTGCTGCGACATTCAGATGGTTGGGTCAGAATTTGTTATCAACAACATGAAAGCATGAATAGTTACATCCAAGATAATATTTGTAAATGTAAATGTTTCTTTCTTACAGTGTTTTTATAGTTGTATACGTAAATATACATCATACATGTGTAATTACAAAATGAATTAGTCATTACATTGCTATTATATTTATTATATTATCTTATATATTATGCAATGTATTGCATTGTAATTACACATGCATGATAATATTTATAAACTTAAATGTTTCTTTGTATATTTCATGTACAGCATTTGTTTAGACATAAACATAGGCAATACTTATGTAATTAATTTAAAAAATTGGTGGAATTACGTTGTCATTACATCCTTATTACTATGTAATAATATTGTTATAACTACTGTTATTACATTGTAATTGCTGTTAAAAAATATTTTTATAACAATGTAATAAATGTTATATCAATGTAATTACAATGTTATAACAATGTAATTGCTATTTATGCATCTATAATTACCATGTAATAACATTGTAGTTACATTGTTATAACATTTCTGTCATTACAATATAATTACTATGTTATAAAATGTTACTACGATGTTATTACATAGTAATTATACTGTAATGACATAAGAATTACAATGTTATAACATGTAATGGCAGTGTTATTACAATATTATTACTATATAATAACAATGTGTTTACACATTAAAAGAAAATGATCTGGCGGTATATAGAAAAAAAAATTAACTTAACATCATATATATAAACTGTTGTAGTTTTTGTATATTTTAATGAAAGAAATCATTTGCTGTACCTTTAAAACATGTATTTTGAATAGCACTAGTATCTAATAAAATAGAAATAATGTATTCTATTAAATGTATGTTAGTGTCAGCTAGTGTATGTTAGTACTAGTATAATCTATTGGAAATTAATAAGTACTATGCGATAAAAACTAGTAGTATCTTTATAATAAAGAATATGTTGCAATTTATATGTGTAATTAAAATTACAGTAGCTATATCTGCTTAATGACTCTATTCTTCAGCTCATATGTATGTGCTTTCAGTGATATTTTAAGTACCATACATATAGAACGTTTTTAATGCAAAACAATTATTACATAATTGCATTGCAAAAACAATGTTTACATAAATTGACAACATAAAACAAATCAAGCCGAACCAGTGCACCTTTAACCGTGCTTCTGAGTCTTGACATGAAGCCTTGTACCATAGGAATTGTTCTAACCAATCACGTGGAGGCATAAAAGTAAAAACGCTTTCTATTGGCTGTACGTCTATCCCTCCCTAGTCGAGACATGACGTAACGATCGATAATTGGCTTCTGCTTGTTGTGTTTAATACCAGTTTCTCACATTACAGTCTTACAGCTTACGCCATTAGCTTGTGAATAGTTGTAATATGTATTAAGACAAAGATACAAACAGATCTCAGACGACTTATTACTGGAATAATCATTTCCTGCACCGTCGTTGTACATTCCGCAGATAGTAAGTAGAATATGGGATTGGGATGATGTTGGGATATACTCATGCTTTGCTAAGCTAACGTTAGCTTGTAGCAGGATGTTGACGAGGCCACATGTTTGCCTTATTTGGCGATAAAAATATACATATTTAAAGCTTTTCTGTATACGAGAAGGTCGTTAATAATTAGCTTTGTTGCAAACGCAGCGTAAACGTTTGTTTTGTGCTGTCATGTTAGCTAGACTGCTACTGTTATTGTCATTAGTTTGTATGTGGTGTATTCTCTAAAATAAAACAACAAACTGTTTCATGTACTGATGACTGCAGAAACAAAACAGTCCATTCAAATAGATTCGTTCAAATAGAATAAGTTCTTCCAAATTTGCATCTAACATAGAAATGCTGTCCGTGTCAATACAAAGGCTTTGTTCAGTGCTGGGAGACGTCAACAAGAATATATAAATAAGAATAGAATGGTACAAATGTATACAACAAGTATAAACCCTAGTAACAACAAAAATGGAGAAAAGAACAATAGGTTATTACTTTGGATAGTTTTTAGTTATACAGTACTCAGCAAATATATATGTACACCCCTTACAAATCTCTTTTGAATTCATATTTTTAATAGGAAGCTATATAATATTATATTTGTGAATATACATTAGATTAGATTAGATTGGCACTGAAGCCAAATCTGGAGTTTATCTAACAAAATAACTTTTGATAACAGTCCAAAAACTTGTACACCCAAATTTATATGTTATAGAAAAGTATTAAATAAAAATAAAAAAGGAAAAATCAAGAGAAGCAAAAATAAGTAAATAATTAATTGAAAAATGTAGTTGAAATGTATTTATTTTTGCTATATTTTGCTTGGATTTAATTGTATTATCTTTTAATTTCTCAATATGTTCGGTGACTAAAATATTATTTTTGAATAATATCTGTTTAATAAATCTGTTTTGTTCAAATGCACCAAAATACATTGCCTATATTCACTGAGAAATGAATAAAAATAATCATTTTCAAAATGGTCTTTAATTAATTATGCTGAGCACTGTTGGTCAGTGTCTTAGCTTCTGTTTTTGTTGATAGCTGCCTTTAGACTGAAATGTGACGTTTAAGTTACCTTCTTACTAAAAAATGCATACATTTAGATTTACATTTACATTAAGTTATTCTTAATAGCATTTTTACTAAAAGGACATTATTTGTTCGTTCGTTCATTCATTCATTTTCCTTTGGCTTAGTCCCTTTATTCATCAGCCGTCATCAAAGCAGAATGAACAACCAACTTATCCAGCATATGTTTAACACAGCGTAAAAATACATTATTCTACCTAAAATCATCTTTTGAGGTCCACAGAAGTAAAGTTAAGCAATTAAACAGGTTGAGTAAATAAGTACAAATTTCGTACAAGAGTGAAGTATTGCTTTAGTGTGT